CGGTAGGAGGAGGAGGAGGAGGAGGAGGAGAGAGGAGAGGTAGGGAGGGAGGAGAGAGAGAGAGAAAGAGAAAGAGAGAGAAAGAGAGAGAGAGGCGAAACTTCCTCAATGGTGGAAATTTGAGAGATTGGAATCTCACCTCATTGCCATCGACTGATTTTAAATACAGTGTAGCCCTGTTATAACGCGATGGCTGGGGTCCATAAAATGTCATCGCGAATAAAGCGGGACTATATATACGTGGATATATAAGAGCAAAATAAAGGGGGCCAACGACTCATCGCATTATATATCCGAATTCGCGTTAAATCAGGGTTCCACTGTATCACCCAAGTTCAATTTTACATTGCCCGATGACATCGCGTTTCAAGTTTGCTCAATTGACATTCTTAGCAGCCTTTTAATTATTTGTTATGCCTATAAACCTATTTTATTTATCTATCTCTCTACAGACACAGTATGCCTTACACGCAAAACTTCGTAAAATCCCAAATACCTTGAGGAATTCGTTTTTTAGCAGATTCATCGCTTCGTTCTTGTACGTTATCGAGGTCTTCTGCTTCAAAAAACTCTCGTCAAGGTAGTTTGAGAATTCCTGCAAACACAAGTACACAGTACAGCGTCGACACGCACGACGGGCGACGCATCTCCGCGGCACGACGAGCGGGAGCGACCTTAGCAATCGCGCATTGTACTATGCTATTCTCCATACTATGCAATTTTTAGTATGTCCCGATGATCTATTATAAATGAAAGTCAGTCGTTTGCAGCAACCGACTCAGCGCTCGACTATGAAAATACATAATCAATTATCAAAAAAAAGAAGTTGTTTTTAAATAATACACTTTTTTTAAATAAAATGTGCAAACATTGCTGAAATTACTCTTTATTTTATTTTATTTTTTTATTTTTTTGGTTTTATGCTATTATTCGTACTGTCACGAGCATATCCGTACGTAGGTTTTAGCTCACGTACGATCTGGCGCCATATACTGTATACGCTGTATATTTCGCGGAACGAGCGACGCACAGTGCGTATGACACGGCACAGCATGACTGCAGCATCGACTACAGCAGCAATGGTTTCGACGCCACTACTAACAGGTGCCAACTGCAGTAACGGCGACAGCAGCAAATGCCTGTGCTATGCCGAGACTCACTGTGACGCCGACTTACCACGCTGTCCACGTTAACCTGCAGTGGATCCCGCGGCGGCGACCGCGCCACCGCCGCCGCCGCCGCGACGTCGGGTCCCTTCGCGTCGTTCGCTACTGCCTCTGTGACTTGGTCTTCCACGACGACGGCACATTCTCCTCCTACGTCGCGTTCCTCCGCAGCTGGGGCTGCAATCTCATCGAGCTGAAGTCAATCGATTTTGCGCCGTCAGGAAATACCGATCTATTGCTTATTTATTATCGCTTACACATTAACTAATGTTAATTACTGCTCAGTTAGGCTTACAAATGCGCAATCTGTGACCATTGCTTTTTGGCTGTAGACCGCTGGGTTAAGAGAGCTATATGTGCAAGTCTTTACTTCGAAAAAATCCACAATCTCTTATCTAGATTAAGAAATACTGATCTATCGCTCTCACTATAATGCTATACTGTTAAAGATGTGTGAACGCATAAACATAGATAAACGCTTTAGATTGTTTGATTCGGCAGGAGAATCTGAACGCTGGAGTCAGAGCGGAGAGACGCGTTTGTTGGTCGTGGTCTTGTCACCGTTTGAATAAAATGGACTCTATGTTATACGTGTGTTGAGACGTTTGTTATACCAACAAATGTTTTTTAAATCCTTCCCGCGCCTATGTGGCGCATAGGGCGGTGCGGCCGGTGCCTATCTCCGTTTCCTTAACCCGAGGCCATACGTTATACCATAGATATATACAACACATGTGTTGTATATATCTATGGTTATACCAACAGCCACTGACAGCAGTCGCATTAAACCGCGTTATTACAGTACTATTATTCGTATTACGCTATTATGTTGTAACCGGAAATGCTATTACAAGAGCTCCCCTAGGCTGCTTACGAACAGGATGGGTTCTTGGGGTAAATTTGCAAGTCGAAATGTTCGGAAGTCCAACATTACTCTTATAAATACTGAATACTGTAAACAGCATTGTAAAAAAAGGTTAATAATACTCGACAGTATATTTTACCAGCATTAAACAATATTACTTCAAGTCTGAGGAACAGAAACTGGGAATGGCTTTAAAGGTTGTATAGACCTGTTGTATATACAGACAGGTTTTGTTCGTATCTCTGAAAGTTCGTAACTTGAACGTATGTAAGTAGGGGAGCGCCTGTCTACTCTAGTCTACTAGCCGATGCTCGTTACGAGGTCTTTTCGATATTCGAACCGTACTCCGAATGATGCCGAATCATGCTCGTAGCCGGACTAACAAGTTAACCTACAATTACTATAACAGTACTACTAACTCGTTAGCCGCACTACCAACTCGTTAACTAACAATTACTATTACGGTACTACTAACTCGTTAGCCGTACTACTAACTCGTTAACTAACAATTACTATAACAGTGCTACTAACTCGTTAGCTGTACTACCAACTCGTTAACCTACAATTAATATAACAGTACTACGAACGAGTTAACCTACAATTACTATAACAGTACTACTAACTCGTTAGCCGTACTACCAACTCGTTAACTAACAATTACTATAACAGTACTACTAACTCGTTAGCCGTACTACTAACTCGTTAACCTGGACTCACCTGGACAGTCTGTTGTGCGTTGCCGTCCCGCTCCCTGCTCTTCTTCACCTGAGGCACCTTCGGGTACTTTGTCTCGACCATGACGTTGCAGACAGTCGTGAGAATGTCCGGGTGGTTCACGTGCGCGAGGACGAGCGCCTCCACGTGCTCCCGCTGCGCGTCTGGAAACAGCTGCATCTGCGGAAGCAGGAGAGAGAAATGCTACAGCAGCACTGACGGACCGACGCACGCGGCGGCGCAGTGCATCGATTCTCGCGCGCTTTTCGATGGTTTTTGGGCCGATCCGCGTGCATGAGTCGTCGATTTTCCGCGGGGTTCGCGCGCACGCGGCAGATGATTTAACTGCTCACAAAATTACGATTTAATAATGAAATTGTCAAATTGCAGTGTCGTTTAAGTACTAAAAAAATTCCGTAACCTAGTCCTTTGGTGCAACTACCGTGCAACAACCTAGTTTTGTGGAGAAAAAACTAAATTATTAAACTAAACTACATTATTTCATTTTTACTTTATTAAAAATGTTTTTGTACGCCTCTTTTCTCATACCCATCACCTGTTTATGCCTTGTTTAGCACATACGATAAAGTTAAAGGGACTACGTCACGAATTTTCTATAGTAAAATTT